TGCTCGCGGACGACGCTGAAGCTGCACCTGGCCACTACAAGCAGCTGCCGAACTACTCACTCCAGGACGACTCCCACTACGGCCACCCCGACAACCCCAACTAGCGTACCACTCACGAAGCTGTTGGGGGGTGAGGGACTCACGCGGGCGACGCTGCAGCTGCACCTGGCCACTACAAGCAGCTGTGGAACTACTCACTCCAGGACGACTCCCACTACGGCCACCCCGACAACCCCAACTAGCGTACCACGCACGAAGCTGTTGGGGGGTGAGGGACTCACGCGGGCGACGCTGGAGCTGCATCTGGCCACGCCAGGAGCAGCAGTAGCAGTAGAAAGAGCAGCAGTAGTAAGAGTAGCAGTAACAGCAGTACGGGCAGGGCAGTGCTCACCAGTGGCTAGAAGGGCAGGCGTACGACGGCGGCAACGGCGAGGCCGCTACCACTGTAGAGCGAGAGCTCCGCGGGAGCTGCAGGGGTGGCTGCTCCAGGGGCGGCAGTTGTAGGGGCGACTGCTCCAGAGGCGGCTGCTCCAGGGGCGGCTGCTCCAGGGGCGGCTGCTCCGGGGGCGGCTGCTGCAGTGGCGGCTGCTCCGGGGGCGGCTGCTGCAGTGGCGGCTGCTCCAGGGGCGGCTGCTGCAGTGGCGGCTGCTCCAGGGGCGGCTGCTGCAGTGGCGGCTGCTCCAGGGGCGGCTCGGCTGCTGGGCGACTCGGCGGCTCAGCTGCTGGGCGCCTCGGCGGCTCGGCTGCTCGCTAGGGGCGGCGACGGGGCCGGGTAGGGGCAGCGACGGGGCCGCTAGGGGCGGGGAGCGGCGAAGGGGCCGCTAGGGGCGGCGACGGGGCCGCGTAGGGGCGGCTACGAGGCCGCGTAGGGGCGGCGACGGGGCCGCGTAGGGAGGGAAGCGGCGACGGGGCCGCTAGGGGCGGCGACGGGGCCGCGTAGGGGCGGCTACGAGGCCGCGTAGGGGCGGCGACGGGGCCGCGTAGGGAGGGAGGCGGCGACGGGGCCGCTAGGGGCGGCGACGGGGCCGCGTAGGGGCGGCGACAGGGCCGCATAGGGAGGGAGGAGGCGACGGGGCCGTTAGGGGCGGCGACGGGGCCGCGTAGGGGCGGCGACGGGGCCGCTAGGGGCGGCGACGGGGCCGCGTAGGGGCGGCGACGGGGCCGCGTAGGGAGGGGAGCGGCGACGGGGCCGCTAGGGCGGCGACGGGGCCGCGTAAGGGCGGCGACGGGGCCGCGTAGGGGCGGCGACGGGGCCGCTAGGGGCGGCGACGGGGCCGCTAGGGGCGGCAACGGGGCCGCGTAGGGGCGGCGACGGGGCCGCGTAGGGGCGGCGACGGGGCCGCGTAGGGAGGGGAGCGGCTACGGGGCCGCTAGGGGCGGCGACGGGGCCGCGTAGGGGCGGCGACGGGGCCGCTAGGGGCGGCGACGGGGCCGCGTAGGGGCGGCAACGGGGCCGCGTAGGGAGGGAGGCGGCAACGGGGCCGCTAAGGGCGGCGACGGGGCCGCTAAGGGTGGCGCGAGGGGCCGTGAGAGGGGCCTCTAAGAGAGCTCGACAGAAGGGCGGCCCACAAGGCGCGCCTCGGGCAGGAGCGACTGTCGCTCCGGTCAGAAAAAAAAAGGTTTCAATGGTGGGCCCAAGGAAGCGTTCCCACTAGGGAACCTGCTCTATACCATGAGAAGAAATGAGGAATGAATTGACTAAGGGAAAGTTGGGTACAAAAGCAAACCCTAGAAAACTGTACCCCATATGTGCTACCCCACTATAGCCTACAGTAGCTATGTCATATAAATCTGACAAAAACCAGAGAGCAGATTCCAGAGAGTTTACTTCAAGTCACTTGTACCCATCCTTGCATTATAAGAAGTATCTCTTTCAATTCCCAGGCGATTACAGAGATTCAAAGTGCCACAGATTCCTTGCTCCGAGCCCGTCGGAACGATCCTAGTCTTGGCTCCTAACTCACCAAGTAAAATCTGTGGCGTCACTAGGAGTGAGACGGTTTCCTTCAGAAACGTCGCTCAGGAACATCAAGCGCAGGTTCTCGAGTTGAAAGAAGGAAGGTGGTAACTCGTCGCATACGTGGAAGCAGTGGAGTGTCAGCTGCTCCATGCGAGAGCAGCGACGAAGAAAACGGTCGACACCTTCCCTGGTAACCGGATGAAACTTCAAATCCTCACTATCTCTCCAGTAGTCTGGTGCGTTCTCTTTTGCCACGTAGAGATTATTCAGCTTAGGACACGACGATGCGAGATGATCGAGGAAAGCGTCGTCAATATTTTCCACGCTGTTAGCAGAGAGGTGCAGATGCGTTAGGTTCGGGAAGCAGGCGACGCCGTTTGACAGATCCTGGAGCGAAACGACGCGGTATCTTCCAACGAACAGAGTCGAGACGTTAAGCCGAGCGAGAGTGCGCCATCGTCGGCAAACAGCTGCGATGCTAAGGTTGTGAGGAGCGTCGGCTGAAGCAGGAAATTTCGGTGACGGAATTTCGATGTCTTCATGAAACAGCACTTTGGGTTCAACCAGAATCTTTTTAGCACGCCCAGACCTCGATCGGTCCCACGGAAGCTCACAATCTGATAGTCGACAACTATTGTGGTTAGAGTGCCAGAAAATCCTGACTAAGAGATCGTCAGGCAGATTGTTCACGTACGTAGAAAAGGATGTCAGCAGGCGGCAGCACTACGCTAGGCTTTCGTGATAAAAGCAATCGGGAGATTCAGTGAGAGGCAATTAGTTCCCACCTACAGGTATGGTGGCGCCTATTCCTGGTGACAATGGTTGAATCAATTTACGTAGTTCAAACTAAGGACGTGGACACTCGCATAGATTTCGACGATCGATTATGAAAAATCGATCTGTCACCGCACTGAAACCTGCGAAAGCTATCTTGACCTTTTTAAAACCCGTCAAAATACGATCTTGCGGTAGGTTCGATCGCCGAAATCGTTGCGGGTGTCCACATCCTAATTCATCCCTCTCCTCCACCTCGATGGTCCGCTTCTTTTCCCCCTCTATCACTCTCTGCTGCAACACCAGGATCTGGACCTGAGGGCGTGTACAAGCGCGGTTTTATAGTGTCACACACAGTTTCGTCGGGGCCTCGCGCATATACAGGAACACAACCGAGCTGATTTGAAGACAATCACCCTTTACACCCTTCTGGTTCGCGAAATTACTAGGCATTCATTACCACATATGATTCCGACTAATCCCCATCCACCTCACCAAACCGTCACTTCCCCCGTAGGAGGGACTGGAGTGGTGTTTCAACAAGCAGAGTACCACGTCCTTGATCCCCATATCTAATTTCATCAGCTTCCCGATGAGTAACTCAAGATCCAAATGATCGTTCGGCATTTGGAACATTGTCACCAGGGCCTATGTTTGGTTTTTGGCTACTCACGATTAGCAGTGTAGCCTTTTTCAAAACCCTTCTGATCAGTGTGTAATTTTTCGTTACACTGATACATCAGTGTAATATTGAGTTTCGAAAAAATTACCCAAGAGCATCAGTGTAGTATATTTGTGTACCCTTATCGCATAAAACATTTGTAGTAAATTGGGCGCTGGTGGGTGGGGGTTGTGGGGACCTCGAGTCCCAAATTTGGGACTCGTGTCCCCAAACCCATGTTTTCGCCGAGTCAGCAAGGTTCCTAGGGGGAACGTGGGTTTGGGGACCTCGAGTCCCAAATTTCCGAGTCAAGATAAAGTTTTTGCAGTGAGTGCAGATTTGACCAATCAGGTTGCATCGCCTCTACAATAGGTTGCGAGCAGGCATGGAGTGACGCGGTGTCGGTTGTCAGTACTCACGTGCTGACGTCGTAGTACATCATTACGAAATTGAGTGTATCGTTACGAAATTTCTAGGAAACTTCGTCTCGATGAGTAGAGTTTCGAGGGGGGGTGCCCTGTACGCCCTTAAGGGTAATCTTCGCTAAGGGAAAATTTACCCCAGAGCATCAGTGTGGCCTAAATCGTTTCACTGTCAAATCAGTGTAACACTAATTTTCAAAAAAAATACCCAAACACATCAGTGTAGGCCCTAAATTTCACCCTTCTCATCAGTATAGCAGTGTGATTTACACTGATAAAATAGGCCCTGATTGTCACCACGTCGCCTGTTCTATGCGAATTTCACGAGGCGCTATGCTGTCATGGTGGGGCTCGTTTGGAACAAAATGAAGTGAGCATTGGCCTGTCTCATACAAAACAGCATGTCCCATGAATAAAACCATGTGACCTGTAAATGAGCATTTGATGCTGATAATGCACCAAAGATACCTCACCAACATCCAAAACACAGCTGCTCCTCCAAGTTTTCTATACATTATTAGAGAGCAACCAAGTTCACATGATCCAGCCTATCCCTACATATTGGTGCAATGTGACATTAGCCATCCCAGCACATCTCACTACAGTATTAGAACACAATATTCACTAAAATCCTTGTTTCAGCTCCACCTGCATGCTGCTCACCACCAACACCACCACCAAAAGTCCTCTCCTCACTCCTCACTCCTCCCTCCTCCCTCTTCTCTCCTCCCACATCCCTCCTTTCTTCTCCAAAGCACCAGCATCCATCCCAGTCGACCTCCCGTTTCTCTATAAGTTTTTCGGTATTCTTTCTTGCCCGCCCCACTCTGTGCGCTCCCAGCTGCACCACCACCAGCACCACCACCCTCACCACCCTCACCACCACCCGCACCAGCACCACTCAATGCCCCTCCTCCCTCCTTGTGCCCGAACACCATCTCATTCAGCTCGGCCAACTCCCTCTCCTCACATTATCTCGACTGTCCTCACATCAAAACACAATCAAATCGTCCTCTTCTTTCTTGCCTGCCCCACTCTGTGCGCTCCCACCACCCGCACCACCACTTGCACCAGCACCACTCCCTGCCCCTGCCCCTCCCTCCTTGCGTTCAAACACCATTTCATCCAGCTCAGCCAACTCCCTCCCCTCAAACCTTGATAACGCCCATCCCTGCATCCAGAATCAAAACACAATCAAATCGTCCTCTTCTTTCTTGCCCGCCCCACTCTGTGCACTCCCAGCACCACCGCCCGCACCACCAGCACCACTCCCTGCCCCTCCTCCTCCCTCCTTCCTTCCAAACACCATCTCATCAAGCTCAGCCAGCTCCCTCTCCTCCTCGCTCATCCCCGCTCTCCTATTCCCCCCTCCCCGGTTCCGCACCAGCCCTCCCGCCCCGCCCTCCTCCTCCTCATCCATCGTCAGGAAGGCAGCAGCTGGGGGAGGCACAACTGGTGGCACCGCTGTCGCAGCCGCACCTGCTGGTTGCTCCGCTGCTGCCGCCGCGGCCGCTGCATCTCCAACCCCTGCCCCTGCTCCCGCTCCTGCTCCTGCCCCAGCAGCAGCAGCAGCAGAGGCCTGTTTGCGCAGTTCAGCTAGCTTTTCGAGCACCTTGTCAATGTCGTCGTTTAGGCTGAGCGCCTCAAACAGGAGCGTCTCGCTGGGGGCCTCTGAGTTGCTGTTCTCGTGCTCGATCAGCCGCAGCAGACTGCTCTTGGCCGCCCGGCACTGTGCTGCCAGTGCTGGCACCACCTCGTCCTGGTAAGAGAGGGTTTGGGTTTGGATTTTGGGTATGTGACAGGAAGTGCGGGTTGCGGCATGAGACAGGAGGTGCAGGTAGAAAGTGCATCAGACAGCAACATCTCACTGCAGTATGTGCTTCGATAGTTGGCTAGCGGAAAAGGGAGGAAAATTGAAATGGAGGAGAAGGCAACGTAGAGGAAAGAAGGAAATATGAAGGAAAACGTAGAGGAAGGCGAGTGAAGGGTGACGGATTTTTTTCAGAATTCTAAGAAATCTGCTGCATAATCAGGGAAAGAGGATGTAGAGGGAGAAGGGTGGCGGCGAGTGACATATGGGTAGTGATGCCATTGGTGTGGTGGCCGTGCCATGGAGGTGAGGAGTTATGTGGGTGAGGTGGTAACAACCATGCCCTGACATGCTATCTCTATTCTAAATTCGCCGAGCTGCAACTCATGCCAACATACACCCAACCATGCCACCCAACCATGCCATCATGCACCCAACCATGCCACCCAACCATGCCATCATGCACCCAACCATGCCACCATGCACCCAACCATGCCACCATGCACCCAACCATGCCACCATGCACCCAACCATGCCACCATGCACCCAACCATGCCACCATGCACCCAGCCATGCCATCATGCACCCAACCATGCCACCCAACCATGCCACCATGCACCCAACCATGCCACCATGCACCCAACCATGCCACCATGCACCCAACCATGCCATCATGCACCCAACCATGCCACCATGAACCCAACCATGCTGTTGAACGTACGTTACATCAATGCTCTCGCTTCATGTCAATATTGTGCTTGAGGTGGTTTTGGCACTCTCCACGGCCGCACGGACGTCAGCACAGTCCCCAGCAGACACTGGATCTAGCAATCTCAACGACCTCATACTTTGCCCCCATTCCCTCTTGCTCTCTCTCATCCTATTGATGTCCATCCTTCCATCCCTCTCCCTCGCCATCCCTCCTTTTCCTCTCTCTCCATCCTTCCCTCTGTAGCTCCTCACTCTTTCCCTGCCTTCCTCCCTCCCTCCCTCTTTCGTTCTTTCCTTCCCTTCGCTCCCTCCTTACCTCTCTCTTTGCCTCCCTCACTCACTGTGAGTACTTGTTATCGAATGATAAAACAGTCCCCAGAAACTCAAGTATCTTAGCATCTCAAAGATCTCCTTGCTGTCAAACACCACCATGTGCCCGCCCTCCGCTTCCCTTCCCTGTTCTCTCTTCCTTTCCATTCTTCCCCTCCCTCCCTTTTCCCTTTACCCATTAATCTTCCCAGTTTCCCTTTCCCCTTAGTTCTTTGTCCATCACTCACAGTCAGCACTTGTTAGGGAGGAGCAGACAACAGCACAGTACCCAGCAGTTGGGTTGAACGCTGTTCCGCGATCTTTGAGATCTCAAACATCTCCTTCTGCCCACCCTCCCTCTTACTTCCCCCTTTCCCTACCTTTCCTTCGTTGCCCTTACCGTGAGCACTTGTTCAGGAGGAGCGGAGGAAAGCACAGTCCCCAGCAGCTCAACACTATTCTTCGAGATCTAAAAAATATCCTTGCTGTCAAACACCACCATGTGTCCGCCCTCCCTTTCTCTTCTCTTTCCCTTTCTCCCTCCCTCCCTCCCTTACCGTGAGCACTTGTTCAGGAGGAGCGGAGGAAAGAACGGTCCCCAGCAGCTCAACACTGTTCCTGGAAATCTCGAAGATCTCCTTGCTGTCAAACACCACCATGTGCCCGCCCTCCGGCCGCGGCACCATCGACACGCCAGGTGGCGCCACCTCATTGGCCATCTGCCCCTCCACCGACTCCAGCAGCGCGTGGGCGGCTTGCACGGCGGCGGGCGGCACGCTGGCGGGCGGCGTGAAGATGGGCGCGAGGGATTCGGCGTCGCGCGGCGGGAAGACCACCCCACGCATCTTGAGGCTCTGAGAAATAGAGAAGAGGAAGCGGGAGAGACACAAAAAGAAAGAGGAAGCAAAGGGGTTGAATGAGAAGAGCACTACAGGTGGCTTGAAGGCTGCCACAGCAGCACCCAGCACGTCTCATGTAGAGGAAGCCACGAGGGAGCCATTGCAGGAAAGGAGCTCGTTTCCACACACAGGAAAGGCGCACGGCAGCGGGCGGCACACTGGCAGGCGGTGTGTAGCTGGGCAAAAGGGACTCGGTGTCACAGGGGGGGAGGGGAGGGGGGGGAGGGGCGGGGAAGCCACTCCTCGCATGACCAGGCTCTGAGACGAATAGAAGGAGAAGCGGGAGCGAAAGAGTGGAATACAAACAAGTATCTTCGCGTCTTGCACCATACATGGATAAACAAACAAAACACACTCCTTCGTGCAAGATGCACTTTTCCCTCCATACTCTCCGCCTAATGCACACCACGCTACCTCGCAACCTCAAAAAAACAAGTGCCTTAAATCTCCAAGAGTCAAGAAGAGAAGCCTCAACAGTCGCCTCAGTTGCGCAGGGCTGCTAGCTTGTCCGACACGCGAACCCCTTGCGGCGCGTACGCAATGACGCTTGGATCGACTCAAACGTACGCCATGATCCTGTCGTTGCCTCGTGTTCTTTTTCGGAGTGTCTCAATGAAAAGCGCCTTCGCAATTACGCGTCTGAAAACGCCACCGGTTATTTGCTGATGATGACATGCTCACTAGGCAGCGCGCATCGCATCGCATCTTGTCAAACGGAACTTTGATCAGACGGAGAAGCGAGATGAAGCGAGGTGAAGCGAGGTGAAGCGAGGTGAAGCGAGATGAAACGCGGTGAAGCGCATTCTATTCACATCCACACTTGTCACTCACCTTGTAAGTTTCTTCGAAGACAGGCAGGTACCTCAGCTCTTCCGTGGCCTCCCCCCACGCCTCGATCATCTTCAGCACCTTCTCGCGCAGCTGCGCCGCGCTGTGCGGCTCGTCCGCGACGCGCACCATGTCGTCCAGCACGCGCTCGTTCGCCACGTCGGAGAAGAGCGACGAGCAGTTCTTAACGGCCATCTCCAGCAGCGCCAGCGCCAGCATCTGCACGTGCGAGTTTCGCGACCCGAGCTGCTTCTTAATCGCGCGCACCGTCTCGCCTCCCGGGAGCTTTCCCGAGTTTACGAGGTCGCAGATTAGGAGATTTCGGCCCCAGTCGGGGGAGATTAGGATCTCGTCCGTCGCTTCTTCGACCAGACGATCCGCGAGCGTCGGCGTGTGGAAGATGTTTTTCATCTTGTCGCCGATTTCCGTCATTGATTCCGTCAATTTCCCGCCGACGGCGTTCATCGACTCCCCCATTTTCTTCCCCATCGTGGCGAGACGGGCCTTCCAGTCTTCGCCCGTGTGGCTGCTGGTGCCGCCCAGCAGTCCCTCATCTTGCGGATCGTCCGAACCGCGAAGAGTCACGTAACCTGCCATACTTGAGACAGTGGTCTCGCTTTTTAACAAATTACAACTTGTAGGACTGCTAGTAGCTACCACTGAAGTACTCGAGGCACGCCGTTTCTAGTTCTACTTTCTAGGATCCGAATGAATCTAGTTGCCAACTTCGATTTCTTTTCGAAAATGAACCCACAAGTTTTCTAGATTTGAATGCTTCTCAGGAATAAACTGTGAATCCTGGTTCTGGCAGTTCTCTTGGGGGTTAGGGGGGAAGACTTTCCCGAGGTGCCAGAGGTGGGTAGAAATGTCCGTCAAGTGCACGGAAAGCGGGACAGATGGAAAATGGAAACGTGGAAAGCGGAATCTCGAGGAAGAAGCAGTTTCCTCGGCTCCATCCATGCTTGCCGGTGAAGAAGCCGATGACGGACAGAAACGGAACGAAGACGGAATCTGCCCATGGAGGTTACATCCCGTCAGCAATCGCACTGGCAAGGGAGATGCATCCAGGCCATTCCCCACGCAACCGACATTCCCAGTGTTGAACGTCAGCTGTTTCGGGTGCCCCATTGGAATGAAGATATTCGCATTGTGCGGGTGTAGACAATTATTGTACTACACGTCGGATTGGCTGACGGTGGACAAAGCAGGCAAAACCAATCAGAGACTTCACCAAGAGAGTCGCGGGTTTGACTCAATTCAGTGAAAGCAATTGGAATATATATTGCACTGCCTGCGTCAGCAGGCACTGCAATGAGTCAGCGGGCAAGGAAAAAAATAAAACCCACTCGGAAGGCATGCCATTCGGGAGGCATCAACCCTAAAATTTTAGGGTTGAGGCTCCCGAATGGCATGGAGTTCGAACGGGTTTCAGTTTTTTTCTGCCCGCGGTCAGCATGCTGACTCACTCGCAGGCAGTGCAATGAGTCAGCGGGCAAGGAAAAAAATAAAACCCACTCGGAAGGCATGCCATTCGGGAGGCATCAACCCTAAACTTTTAGGGTTGAGGCTCCCGAATGGCATGGAGTCCGAATGAGTTTTAGTTTTTTTTCTGCCCGCGGTCAGCATGCTTACTCACTCGGTAGCGTCGTCTAGCGAAATGGTAGCGCTACTGAGCGCTACCGACACTACCAAGTGCAATATATTGCCTGAAAGCTGGATGTGAGCTTATTCATACCAAAACAAGATCTCGCACCACTCTCAATTGCAAAATAGTGTTACGGGTGCAATGAATCAAGATAGCGAGGATTGCACTAGAGTGTTCAACGAGTACAAAGTATGAGCGAATGCATGAGCGAATACTTATACGCGAAACATGCAAACGGTAACGCGGTGCGTGCGAGCTAGCTAGTGCTACGCCGGCACGAGGTTCGGGCTAGTCCCGAAGCGTAGGCCGACTCGGCTGCTCCAGCAGTGCGATGTTTGGTGAAACAGTGCATGCGAAGTTGGCGAAGCCCCGTTAGCAGTAACGGGCGAACAACGGCTTGCTGCTGTACGCGATGTTGTCAGTCGCAGTAAGGAATGGCGAGAAAATTCCTTACACTACCCCCCCCCCCCCCTCAAGAAGCCCCCTCCGCTACGCGTGCGTGTATATCGCGGAAACCCCGGCTCCTCATGTTGACTTACAGGGCAGGGTGGTTTTCGATGTTGGCCAGGGGCACCCAGCTATCTTCAGTGTCAGAGGTCCACTGGTGATCCTCGATTGATCATAGGGAAGGGTTACAGGCATGTTGGCCTGGGGGGTTATGGGCGCACTTACCCGCTACTGAACAAGCCCTTTTATCCCAATGGTCTAGTGGTTGGGATTCTGACATGGTATCAGAGCGAAGGTCTCGGGTTCGAATCCCACTGTGTACACTTCGGGCATCCCAGTTCGGGGGGGTGTCAGAGGTCCACTGGTGATCCTCGATTGATCCTAGGGAAGGGTTACAGGCATGTTGGCCTGGGGGGTTATGGGCGCACTTACCCGCTACTGAACAAGCCCTTTTATCCCAATGGTCTAGTGGTTGGGATTCTGACACTCAGTTGGCGTGCAGTCCTTCCAGCGAACGAGGAACTCAATCCTCTTGATGCCTGTGGGGTGTCGAATCCGATGGCTCAGAATCTTCTCGAGCTCAATGATCGGCTCCGATGCAGGGCGAGTCATGGATGGCGGGTGGTGACGAGCAAGGTTGGCTCGTGGTTGGGATGCAAGGGCGAAGCAGGCTGACGTGGAATGATGGGCTGATGTACCAGTCGGTCGGCAACAGTAAGTTAGCGGAGACTGGGGTGATCATGTGGCTGATTTGGAATGGTCCACAGTAGCGTGGTCGTAATTTCAGTACGACGGGCAGTCTTAAGTTCTGTGTGTCGAGCAGTACGTAATCCCCTGACTGGTACGTGACTGGGCGGCGGTGTTAACGGGAGTGGAGTGTTGGCCCCGCCCTCGCTTGGGCAACGCCGACCACTTGGTCGGATGTACGGGAGTAGCAGCCGACCGTTCACAGTAGGAGAGCTGATCAACAGGCTTCGTCGAGCTGCAGGGGACCGCTGTGGTGTTGCTGTCGACCAGGGAGCTCGACAGCTGCAACTGACTGGTCTGGGCGACGGGTGGGCCGTCGACCAGAAGGGGCAGTTCGACCGGGAGGTCGACGGAGCAGTCCGTCGACCTGACAAGTGAGCAGCGGTCGACGAGGGGAGCTCGGCGACAACAGCTGACAGTTCTGGTCGACGAAAGGGGTCCGTCGACCAGGGGGTAGCTCGACGGGAGCTGTGGTCGACCAGGGGCACCTGGTGGTCGACCAGAGGGACCCGCTGGTCGACCAGAGGCACTTGGTGGTCGACCACAGCACCTGGGGCTGTCCAGGTCGACCGGATAACCTGCTCGGCAAGTTCTGCAGAGGCACGCGAACGTCGTCAAGGTCGCGATGGCAAAGGCGACTTCGGGTTGGTATCCCGAAGTCGATGTGGCTTGTCAGGCACAGACAACAGCCGACGGATGCACAACGGTGCAAGTCGGGCCAATCGTCTGCGCGCACCTGCGAGCGTGAGCACTGCTGTCTTCTACGGGGCAACGTTGGACAGCCGCTCTGCTGCAGTGTTGGCACACCGTCGACCTGCTGTGTTGGCAGGTCGCCTTTCTGCAGTGCTGGCGCGGCTCCTCTACGCAACGCTGGCAGGCGGTCGACCATGCTGTGCTGTCGGTCGACCAGGCAAACTGCAGAGTTGCTAGGTGCCTGATGTAGTCATTGTTGTCATTCCTTGTTCAATCATCCTGTAATTCCAACTTTTCTAGTGGAAACTCTTGCCGAGTTCTCCCGTGATTGTGCAAGCACTAAGAAACTAGGCAAAGCTACGATCACTCCTAGTAGTTCGTGCCAACCCCTGTTGTCTAGCTCACTACCATTGTAGAGTGTTTCTCCGCATGGTGCGGTGAGCGTGGATCGAACACGCGACCTTCAGATAGGAGCCGACTTTTGCACCTACTAAGTCGTTCGTAGGCCGGCAGCAGCGAAGCAGCGATAGTCACCATGGTCGACCCCGTAGCTAATGCGGGCATAGCGGACACCTTGGAGGCACGCTTGGCTGATGCGAGGAAACGCCACGCGGATGGCGAGTACGGGAGGATCCCCTTGCTGATCGTCGAGTTGGGCATCCGGTCGCAGTGGGCGACGGAACACCCTTCCCGTCCTGTTTCTCCTCGACCGGTGCGAAACGAAGGTGGCGTCGACGACGAGGTCGACGGCGGTGCACGAGTCAGCGGCAACAATGGCACGAAGCAAAGAGGAGTGATCAAGGTCGACGGTGGCGTCGACAGGAGTCAGGTGCGAGTGCAATGGTTGACGGCGGCTGCAGGCAGCTCGCGTGCCGACGTCGCTGGTCGACGTTGCTCTCCTCTACGTAGCGGTGGAGGGCTCTTGGCGATGACGTATGTGACGGCGGGCGGGATCGCATCGACGTATGGCTACTTCAAGTTCTCGCCGGACCGGATCACCGTCGCACCACTGCAAGGTCGACGGGACCTCATCACCTGGAGGGAGTCGATAGAACCTCAGCTGGAGGTCGCCGGGCTGAAGGGCTTCGCCGACGGCATAGTGCCAATTCCGCCCGTGGACGATGTCGAGCTGTGCAGGGAGTTTCGTGCGGCTCACTTGCTAACTTTCATGGTCATCTCGAGGTGCTGCTCGCCGGTGGTGCAGCTGGCGCTCAGGAGCTGTCGAGAGCGACTAGATGCTGGTCACCAGGCATGGCACTTCATCCTGTCGACGTACCAGTTCAGGGATGACCTGTACATCGCACAGCTGGAGGAGAAGATGACCCACATTCGAATGGGCGAGCAGGAGTCGGCAACGGACTACTGCAACCGTGCTCGACGGATCCTGGCTGAGATGCGGATGGCAGGCGCCGAATACTCGACGACGTCCTACATCTCCCACATCGTCAAGGGCCTGCCGCGCGGCTACAACCTTATGAAGAGGATGATGATGGTACCCGGGACGCGTGAGTCCCTCAACGAGGACTCCATCACCAGCTACATTCTTCAAGACGAGGCGATGCAGGAGGCCGAACAGCCCACGGAGCTCCTTCCTCAGGCAAACTACGCTACACCGACGAAGGTGAATCAGCAGTGAGGGCAGCGTAGGAAGCCAGGCGGAGGTGGTAGCGGAGGTGGGCGGTTGACGAAGGACGTCTCGAGAAGAGGTCGACGCGGGACAAGGGCCGAGGAGGTGGTGGTCGACGGCGGGAGTGCTAGATCTGCCACGAACCCGACCACCTTTCCTACGAGTGTCCCGACCGCAATGACAGCGACGAGGACGACACCAAGGGAGGCTGCGGTCGATCGACCAGCCGTCGCCCACGTCGAGATGCGAAGCCGCACAAGGAGAAGCAGACGTCGAAGAAGACGTCGTCGACGAAGGACGTCAACAACTCCAGCGGCAAGAGCCGAGGCGACGAGGAGACGTCGTGCTCGATGGTCGGCGTAGTGGAGCCGACGGTTTCGCTGGCGCCGGAGGCTGGCAAGGACTTCCAGGCGGTGGCGGCAGCTGTGCAGGAAAAAC